TAATAGTATTAATAATTATTAATACTATTATAATTACTTATATTATTAGGTAATAATATAATTATTATTATAAAATTCTAAGAGAAATTAGGCGTTAAAGGTAAATAATTTTAAGTCTTAAGCGTTAAGCTTATTTATATTAAAATAACTCCCTTTATTATACGTAGTATAAAAGTTAAGATAATAAAAAAGAAAAAAAGAGGTACTTATTAATTAAACGCTTTAAGTTAATTATACTTAAGTTATTTAGCCTTTATATAAGCGAAACCTAAGCTATTAATTATAGTATTAATTAATTAAGAACGTAAAAGCTTAACTTAAATTAAGTTTTTAGATTTAATTAGCTTTATTAACCTAATAATACGCGTGTAAGCCTACTAACTATTTATTTAAGTTTATAAATAATCACTATTTATTTAAGTTTATAAATAATCTCTAGTATAATTACACCTTATTTTAAATCTTATTATTCTTTTATTTCCCCGCTTAAAGAATTCGTATTCTTATAGTGGTACTCTACTCTCTACTTCTCCGCCTACTCTTTCTTCTCTATCTACTAATAATTCTTAGTGTAGCTTAGCCTTACCGTAAATGCAGCTAATAGTTCTTCTATATTATTTAGCTATAATAACCTTAAATAACGTATTATTAAAACCTTTTAAAACACGTAATATAATATAAGAAGTTAAGAAGCTAATAATTAAATAATCCCTTTTAAGCCTATTATTTAATAAAAGATATTTAGCCTTTAACCTTTCACGTAAAAGCATTTAATTAATATAAAGAAAGATACTAATAAATACGATATTAATAATTTAATAAAAGGGGTATAATAAGATTAATATAATATATTCGCTATAATAAAACTTAATTATAGGTTATAAACCTACGCTAAACGTACTCTAGTATACTTAGGCCGTGGTATAAGAGTAAGGCGACGTGAACGAATTAATTCTAAGCATATTAACCTAATATTTCTAGCCGCTAGAAGATCAACTAAAAAGCCTTAGATAACGGAATTAGAGGGAGTGGTCAGGCATAACGAGTATCATGGGGCGCCAGCACCCGGATAAGGCAAAGCTTGCGAGACAATGGGAAGGCTTGGCCGCGCCGCCAGCCCCCCAACCGCAAGCATTAACAATCCTTCCGGACACTCCGAGCACTGGAGGTAGCCCATCCCAAGAACTGGTCATCACTAATGGGCCATCTTTGCTGGATTTTTTTTAAATGGGAGAAGTGCGTCAATAAGCCCCAGTGTTTGTAGAGTTAGCGAACGCTTCGAGGTCATTCGGCAGCAGGTCGTAGATTTGTAGATTTAATAGATAGTAGAGAACGGGTTATCGTTGCTAGGTGACACGGCGCGAGGATTCGTATCGTGATAATCTCGGCTGAACGGGACGGCAGCAGCTGATATGAGGAGAGGTGCATCAAGGACATGGAGCTGCGACAGGAAAGCGGAGCCTGTTGGGCCCATTTGAAGTTTTAAGCTTATAATAGTATATAAGGACCCACTTTTTTAATATTAGCTTATAATATAGAATTTATACTAGTTATCCGTAAAACTTATAATCTTATAAGTATTTTATTAGATTTAATATAGTTTTTTATATTCGAAACTACAAAAACTACAAAACTACAAAACTACACTACAGTCAATGCTCTGGGCCCAACAAATGATGTGGACAACGCGACCAAAGTAATGACGACCTGCGACACCAAGGGAGAAGTGGGAATCGACAGGGTCAATGGGGCGAAGGAGAGGACGAGATGAGAGGGGGAAAGAAAGCAGAAAGAAGAGAGTTGGGTTTTGGAGGTTGGTCTTATAGATTTTCTCTAAAGCAGCGGGAGGTGGAAAGTGGGGCTTGGGGGCTTGGTGGCGGGGGCCTTACCCATGCGGGCAGGCGGTCGAAAACGGCAGCCAATTTGCAGGCACCGACTTTACCGCCGCAACTACGAGTAGCAGCTATGAATCAAATCCATAGTGAAACTAGGCCATAATTGAAGATGTCTATCAGGGTCGTTGGAGCTCTTCCCGATTTAGAAGCTGGCTGCTTTGAGGGGCTACTTGGAATCTTGAAACACGGTTGATACAGGTCTTCAATTGAGAACTGCATCCATTGTTTAGCGGTTACTGACATCATCGTCGCTAGCAGTCGCTTTTTGAAGGAACCTAGACGCCAGCTTTGAGTAGCGGCTGCGAGAACTCTACGTTTCTACTTGGCTCTAACCACGCGGACTTCACAATGAATGTGACAAGGGCTCTGTGAGGGCTTGGAGCAATAAATAGCTCTATTCATCTAACAGTCTTTGGTATCAAAGGTTCTTGGTTTTCCAAGTCCTTAAGGGACCAAAAGGTCTCTATAAATACCAGAAGTCGGTGATGGTCTCTGCCCTAGGTCCCGTGATCGTAGCGCTCGTGTAACCGTGTGACAATGAACAATGCCAACGCGATTTATAGTGTGGGATGCAGCGGTGAAAACTCATCCCGGGATTATTCCAAACCGCTGGATATTGAAGCAATACAAGTTCGTTTAAAGAGGTGAAAACAATTTCCAATAAAGGCGCAAAGGTGTATGTTCTCTCGTCTGGACTCTCAAGTTGATTCAAACTAGCGGCCTTGGAAGGATTGAGCACTACATGGCAAACATCTTAGTCTGCCTGCTGAGATAGGCTCATGGGCTTCATTTTCCGGAATTCGACGTGAGGCAATCGGCTCCTACTTGTATGAGATGTATCAGCGGCGGCCTCCAAGCGAAGAAACTGCGCGCTTTCCGCGCTTTTTGTCCGGCGCCAATGAGTCTAGACAGCGGGTGATGTTATGCCATAGCCCTCATTTGTGTCTGGTGTTTTATCCCAGGGGGGCGAATTCGGTTCGCGACGTGAGCATCTCCGCGACGCTGTGCTCGCGACGCTGAAGGTGGCTTAGGTGATACGTAGGATCAGGATACGAAGCATGACGCGCAATTGAAAAGATAAGGCATCTGTGTCGAGTTACGTAGTGGTTATTCTTTCGCCCACAATAAAAAGGAGAATCATGCGACCCGGCTGTGCAGAACCGGAATCCTTACGCCTTATCGGCTCCGACGGTATGGAAATTGCTTCCTCGAATTATAGAACTCGTCATCGCGTTATAGTCCAGGGAGAGGGAGAGGGTGGACCCTGGATCAAAGCATGAGTACAGTAAACCAGGTCTATAACGATAACCTTCGTGAGGCTTTTTTTAATATTATAAGGCGACTATTATTAAGGTGTAACTATTATAAGGCTTATACCTTTACCTAAATTTACTAGGTAAATATATATAATAATATTATAAGGTATATATATAAAGATTATACTTTTTTTTTATCGCGTTATAAGCTTTCTATTAATCGTGCTAAAGCTACTGTTAAAGCTATTAAAGCTATTAAAGCTATTAAAGCTATTAAAGCTATTATTAAAGCTTATTATAGCTTTTATTAATACGCTTAAGCTTTAAATATTATTACGTAGCTTTAATTTTCCTTATTAATTAATACGTATATATAATATTAAAAAAAGAAAAACGCGTTAAAAGTTATAAAATTTAACTCTTATAATAAAGGCCTAATAATAATAAAAATATTAAAATATATAAAATTAAACTTAAGGTTAATAATATTATAAGTAACTTAATTATTAATAATTTATTAGAGAAAAACCTTAAATAACTATAAATTATCATAAAAACCTAAATATCGCTAAGATATAGAATCGTTATAGACATGGTTTACTGTAATGCATTGCCAGGAAAGTAATTGCTAGTGTGTTTGAGTCATCACTACTAACTAGATAGCTGGTTTGTGACAAAAAATCGGGCCATTGCCCAAAAGTCCACGTAGCGACGCTGAATATGACTTCAATCTGAGGTACCTTTTCGTTTATACTTGGGTAGTTTCTAGTGAGCCTCTTTGCTTATAACCAAGGCGAAATGGCTTCTTCATGTGGCCAACTTGGGCATCTTCAATTTCGAAAGGCCCGTCATCACCAAGTGTTATAACCACGCTTCAACATGCGACTTTTTATGTTCCTCTCTGGGCTGGCTGTCTCCATCGCTGCCCCCGGTCTTGTACCACGGGCTGTCCATGCGCCGCTGATAATTCCTCGCGGGGACGGTGCAAGCCTTGTTGCCGATCAATACGTTGTGTATCTTCGATCTGACGCCTCCGAAGCCGACCACAAAGACGCTTTAAAGAGCTTGAATATCAAGCCCAGACACGAATACAGGAGCCTTGTCCGCGGCTTTTCAGCAAATCTCGACGGAAATACACTCGCGGGCTTGCGAAGACATCCAGCTGTAGGCGTTTCTACCCTTGCAACTCGAGTCTAAATGGCACCTTTAACTTACACCTTACAAGGTTGACTTCATCGAACAAGTGACAATGTCTTCCATCTCTAATCTCAAGCCAGTGAACCGGGCACCTCGAAACTCTACGGGAGCCATTATCGAGCAGAAGGGCGTAACGTGGAACCTAGACCGCATTTCACACCAAAAGTCGAGTTCCGAGAGCGAAACCAAGTACGTGTACGACTCTCGAGCCGGCGAGGGCACCTGCGCCTATGTTATCGACACTGGAGTGGACGACACTCGCCCGGTAATAATACTATACCTAGTCTAGATGAAACCGAGATTTGACTTGCCTTGTTAAGACCAATTTCATGTAGGAATTTAAAGGACGCGCACTGCAGATCAAGTCCTTTGTCGCCAATGAAACCGGCGATAACAGCAGAGACGGCCATGGCACCCACGTTGCCGGCATCATCGGCAGCGGAGTGGCAAAGAAGACCAGGATATTCGGCATTAAAGTTCTGAACAGCGAGGGCTCTAGGGAGACTGATGCGCTCATTGCAGGCTAGTACTCCATTCGTGTGCCCAAGCGACGTGTGTGTTCATTGCTAATACTTGAAGCGCGTCCATAGGCCTCGAGTATGTGCCCATCGACGCCGCGAATCGCACCTGCCCCAATGGCGTTGTTGTCAGCTTCAGCATCAATTCAGGGCTCTACGAAAAGGCAATAAGTGTTGCAGCAGGTGCCCTGGTCAAGAAGGGCTATTTCATGGCCGCCTCGGCCGGCAATATCGTGGCGCACTCCTCGCCCGCATCCGAGGCGACTGTATGCACAGTCGGATCTGTTGACATTAACAACAAGCCTGCCTCGGACTATGGCTACGGCCCGGGCCTTGACCTCTTGGCTCCTGGTGTGGATATCCTTTCCCTGCAGCCAGATAACAGAACTGTAAGTGAGGATCCGAATACTCCAGTCTACTCCAGTCCTTGGGTCTCAAGCTGACGCTGTGCAGGCATTGTTGAGCGGAACGTCGCAAGCCACTCCCCATGTTACTGGTCTAGCGGCATATTTTGCGTCTATTTTTGGCAAGTCGGCTGTTCCGAAACTGTGTCAGTACATGAAGGATGTGGCGGTCGAGGGGGCAGTCAAGGAGCAGAACTTGTATACGGCGAACCTTCTTGTCACGAACTCTGTTGTGGGTGCATAGAAATACTACGTGTACGTAGTGCTCTACATCCCGAAATACCGTTGCGAAATGTTTTCTGGAGATTATATATTTTCGAGGTGTTTTTCCTTCTTGGTGGATTGAAGGCAGTGCTGGTAAATAGAGAATTATACCGACTGGTACATGCAGTACTAGGACGCATGTTGGCAGTCTGGACAATCCAGGCAGTTAGATATCAATTAGTCTTGGCGTGGGTAGTTTTGGCTTCTGAGCCGTTCAATACATGCAACTTGATAATTACATGACCGACGAGGACTGTGTAGTCATTGTCATACTGCATGATCTGGTCAAACTACCATCTAGTTGGTAGCGTCAAGTCTCATTACCAAATATTGACAGATCCGGTGTGCCTACCTTCTGAGACTGTAGGCTAGTCAATATAACTAGGGATCTCACATGCCAGATTCAAGTTTATACAAACCCCTGACATTCAATACACAGCCGCACACGACCCAATAAAAGCCGTAGGACCGTCTGTAGGCAAGTCGACTCATTGTGCCGTAGTCTAGTATGCGGCATCGCTCGTCCTGGATCAGGCAACTATTTTCTTCTTCAAAGTTGACGTGCTTGGCATCTGCTGAATGGGTATAAGGGGGTGTAATATTTCCATACAAGCAGATGAGAGAGGCGACCCAACTATGATAATTCAGACAGCCACAAGAAAACAAGTCCCGTACTCACGGGTTCTAAGGTACTTGTCGTTCTGCAGTGAAGTCGTTACTGGTTTCAATAGTCTGCACCAGCCAAACAGGATTGTAGTTGGAATCTACAATGTGCCATACGTTGGCGAGTAGATAACGCCACCGGATGTCAACGGACGGTGGGATGAATCGAGATGCGACTTTCCGAACAGTAACTGTACCCGCGTGCTTTGCCTGCCTCCATTTCGTGACAGACAAGCGTTCCCATCGCACGAGGCCTGCCAGTCACTTGCAGAGGCGCCATATTCTCCAAACTCTTCCAGTATGAGACTCTCTTTAATATTTGCAAGTCTCTGCCTTATCTGTTTGAAGGTCCTTACCTGAGCCGGGTCGTACCTTTGAGGTTTTAATCCGGGGTCCCTAGGAATATTATCCTTGAGAAGATCGATTCTCTGGATATAGCGGATCTAAGCCGTGTGAGACCGCCAGGAACAATCCTTATGCTATACCACAACTCTGGTGGATAATATATACAGTTACAATAGAATACTATCCCAGTGGTTGATCCTCGAACTTCCATTCTGGAACGAGCAGATCTTTTGCACCCGCGGTCTCGAGGATGTAATTCAAGCATCTGATATCGATTGGACGGGATGCCCAAGTAATGCAGGCTTTCAGAGGCCCATGTTCCTGGGCGAAAGAAGGCAATTCAGCCGATTCGAAGGTAGGTGGGAGGAGGAGGCAATGCGGAAGGTTCAAAATTACACCTACATGGACATGTTTCCTTATGAAATCTGCAATCGCAGCTACTTGAAGGGGCAGTGGCCCATCAGCCGAGGGGATGCACTCGAAATCGACAATAAACGTGTTTCGAGGGTGCTTCAAAAACATTATCAGGGTTTGGGTGCAGCCTTTCAAGAGAGGAAATCGGAACCCCTGCGACAAAATTAACTCTTCATCCAAGCAAAAAGCGTCAATCTTCTTAAATGCTTTGCATTGTCTCAGATGATCGTCCTCGCATCCCCGAGGAAAGTATGTGTGGCATATTGAACAATGCTATTTCGGACAGTTGTGAGGTTCGTTGCGGTCGACTACAAGGGTGCAGCCAGGCCATGTCATCTTTGTGCATGTCTCCCAATGTGCCTGAAATTTGAATGGTGTCAACTCTGAGGCGGTGTGTGCAGGCTGGATAGGTCCGCACGTCGCATTCAGCTTCGTGCTTGGAAACATCGTCGTGTGGCCCATGCTTGCCGCAATGACTGCAACACGCTGGCAGTGCTTCGGCATATTCCATCTTGTGCTCGTTTTTCGTTGACGCCAGATAGTAATAGCCACATCGGAAGCAACGCCAGCACTCGCAGACCTTTTGATGCTTGTCTCTTTCTGCAGCCAATATTGCCGTCAGGCAGTGCCTGCAGTACCAATACTCGCAAGCCTCGAAATGTTCTCTGTACTTGTCCTTCTCGTGGTAGTGTCTGCATTTCCAGCACTGTACTTTGAGTCGACCAGAACATTCCGCGCGATGCTGCTTCATGTTTTCGATTCTTGGCATTTGGCAAGCACCGCAAAGGAGCCACGGAGATGTGAGCCTGTGCACCGCGAGCTCACTCTTTGAGAAGCGGACGATGCACTTGTAGCATTCGCTATAGAGCCCCGGACAAACTTGTGAGTCCTTCTCAAAATAGTAGAAGTACTGCTCGCACACATCGCATCTCCAACGGGGCTTAGGCATACTATAGTCCACGGCATCGTGACTATGTGCACCTCTGGTTGCTGAACCACCCAGGAGCCGTCGACGAGGTCGACCCGGATGGACCAAAAGCAGGGATCTTCTATTTTCACGCCAACTGAAGTGAGATCGTCATATCGGAAGCAACGATATTTCTGATGTATGGGTTTCCCTGAGGGTAGGTTCCCTGACATCGTGACGATTTCATAGCCATTGTGTTGTTGAGCTTGTTTGGTAGCCTCAATGGATGCGAAGTGCGTAGCAGACCCTTTCCCCTCGAGCTCTTTCAGTTCAGAATTCATATCAGTATCCGCCGTGTCCTGGGGTGACAAGTCTCTGAATGAGCAGCCTTTTCCAGCAGACATGTAAAGGCAATTTGCATATGCCCCCTTTGCAATATCATGGAAGAGTGGTCGTAGCTGATAACACACGTCGCGCAGCGTCCACAGTCCTTCTCGCACGTTCTGCAAGGGCTAGGCAAGAACTCCGACTACCTGGAGTAGACCAGCTAAAAGGTGACATGAGTGATTGATCTTGAAGGGGGTTGCGCCATATCTTTTTTCCAAGGGGTTGTCGTCTCGGGGTTATTTCCTCAAAGCTTCCCATTTGACTCGAGTCAGTAGATTTGAGAATGTATGATCATCCATGGCCAACCAGGTACTCGTCTTGGAGAATGTCAACGCAAGAGGGCACTTCTCCTCCACAACTGGACATGTCGTATAGAGAACGTGCCAGGCTGGAGTCTGATGTTCTAGATCGGTAATCAGCATTGGAATGGGGAGGACGGTTGTAAGAAAGGCTTACGTTTGACTTGAGCGGCTGGGAGGTCGTGTTGGAAATCAGAATTAGAAAACTGACCCAGCTCCTTCTTCTTCTTCTTCCGCCGCAGAGCTATCGGTCTTTTTGGCGTTTTGTATTTTGGCCGCTTGTTTTTTAACAAGTCGTTTCTTTTGGTATAGCTTCTCGACAGCTTTCGTATTGTTTCGTCGTGTTTCAGGTCGTTTTTTCCTCTTCCATCGACTTTTTGGTGACGCCCTGGTTTCGTCTGAAGTTTATGGAGGACCCGTCGGCGTGGCGAAGCCGGGGTCGTTTCCAGAAGCAACATCAGCATCGACTCGGAGACAGGATCAGAAGCCTGGGATCCTCCGTCTTCGGAGCCTCTGATCGCGGCGCCTCCGTTACTAGTGCTTCGCTTCCAGGCGCTTCTCGTGGTAGCAGGTATCTTGATAACGTCAAATGCTTGTGAATAGAAAATTGGGTCGACGGGGCTTCAGATTCAGATCCAGACGATGAGGGAATCACTGACAGGCCACAAAAACAAAGCTCCCGAACATTGTATTTCTGCGCACAATAACTTTAAAATTCATAAGCCATGGCTCCTACGAGAAAGTGAGAAGTATCTTGAGTTGCCCGTAGTGCGTCGTTCTGTCAGTGTTAGGCACCAGACTGCTTACTAGGGTTGTGATTTTCAGTTATTATTGGTACAGTCACTGCAGTGCCTGTTTAATCGTTGCTCTGAGCGGATCAAGAAGTTTATGAGTTTGTTAAACTATTATAGCTCATATTAATAAGTGTTTTGAGAAGCTTAGCTTTATAATAAGAGCTCACGTGTTATTACGTTATTAATTACGGTTTATTAGCTTAAATACGGGTAAAATGTAATATTACTAGATACCTTTTATTTAGCTTTTTTTTTATTTTTTGTAAATAAGTTAATAAGTAGATTATTAAATAAAAATGTAATTATAATTATATTATTTTTTATACATTTTTATTATGTAATTAAAATAATACTTTATAATAAGAGCTCACGTGTTATTACGTTATTAATTACGGTTTATTAGCTTAAATACGGGTAAAATGTAATATTACTAGATACCTTTTATTTAGCTTTTTTTTTATTTTTTGTAAATAAGTTAATAAGTAGATTATTAAATAAAAATGTAATTATAATTATATTATTTTTTATACATTTTTATTATGTAATTAAAGTATTATTTTGAGGCCGGGCATATAAAGTATAATTTTAATATTATGTAATTAAAGTATAATTTTAATATTATATAATAAATTTTATAGGCTCTTTATAGCTTATATATTAGTTCCCCGTTATTAGCCCCTAATATTATACGCCTTAATACATCGCATTAGCACCTGATATCCCGCAGTACCAGCCTCGATAGCCCGGTCAAAGTACTACTATCATTCGCCGTGAAGCACCCATATTTATCTCGTGGTGTACTCTGTACACGATATGTCTCGTGGGACCACCACACTCCCGAGGCAGCCACTACCTGAACATCACCGTCTCATATCCGTGGACTACCAAGTCGGCAGCAGATTACTAGAAATTTCAAGGACCCCAAGATATAATTAGTACGATACCGAGGATACTACACTGGAGAGCATCTAGGTCAGGTGTCGCGCAGCAAGTCTAAGCTTCATCGCGGGGAATCAGATGCAAAAATGGCACGACTACCACAACGGGGAAGCCCGGCAGGCAGACAAACTAGGCCGAATGTGCATTTGGTCGCGAGCACATTGATATGAAAACGTCAACGGTCGAATCGAAACTGCCGACTCTTTACGTACCCATGGACCGACACCACATG